ACTTACTTAGCAAAAACACGATGACGCTCACAAATAACGAGAGCGGATGTTGATAAGAACACACTATATATGCCGCGAAGGCTATATACAAAAAAAATATTATAATTTTATTTATAATAAGCTTAAAAAAGAATTCTTTAACGCGCTCGACGAACAAGATCACATATAACTTAATTATCTGAATACTTTACATTATTAGTTTAAATTATTATTTTAAATTATTATTTTAAATTATTCCCTACTATCAAAGAATTTTTATAGCGAACAAAATTCAAATATTATCAATATAAATATCAATTATTTAATTAAAATATTCGTCTTATTTATAAGCGAGTCTTACATTAGGTTTAGGCGTTTTAAGGCTTCGGTTTGTTTGGATATTGTATGTGTGTTGATGTATATGTAAGAATAAAAAAAAAAAAGAAAAATGTATTTAAAAAATGTGCATAAATGTCACATATTGTCGTCAATCTAATTATTTTAACATAGTTATATTTTTGAAAATGTGTTTGACATTGCCGTGTTCTTGGAATGCACGATGACGAATATCGATCAAATGCGGAATCTAGTTTGATCTGAATCTCGTTCTGGACAAGAATACATTAATTTATATATCGATGCTTGATATGCACTATGATGCGGAATGCAATCCCAATCAATATAAATTCGATCCGGGACGATTCAATAAAAAGAACAAACATAATACCATCATGCGTTTACTTCCCATTCAGGGAAAACTCGAGCGCATTCGTAAATAAGAGAATCAATTTAATTATGAAAAATTAAAGGTCGACGTATTTCCAAACACATATCAAGTCAGAATGAATCATTAAGTATCGATTTTTTGTATTTTTTAACAGTCTAAATTTATAGGAATTATAAATATCACTGAAATTATTTTAAAATTATTTATATTTCAGAAGCGGAAATTGTATGGTTTGTAATATACTTCAATAACAATATATTTTAAAAATGTTTCTTTTTCCGAAATGCTCTTTTTCTCCATATTATTTTAGAAAATTGTAAAATTTTTCTAAGAACAAAATATTAAACAAAATTAAAATGCTTTTTAGACCAAATTTACAACTATATATGATGATATTATTCTTTGAAAAAGTATTTCGTAATTCTCTACAAAAATTTGTACAATACTTAATCTTGACATATGTTAAAGAGGATTTTAAAATTCAATAATTTTTAAACTACGTTTATAGTATATAGGAAAACATAGTATATAGGTAAGGTAGAAATGATATATATCAACAAAAAATATGACATATCTTTGATATATGACTTTAACATATGACTGTGACATATGACTTTGGCATATATTTAGAAGATGATAATGTTTTAAAGAATTTTGAAAAAAATTTGATTTACACTATCCTTTATTATTCATTAAAAAATTAATAAAGAATGTTGCGCTTATGCAAACAAGCGTGATAGTTTAATTCAATACAAAGTTTGTTTCAATACAAATTTGCATTAATTGCATGTTTACACATTAAAGTCGATGCATGGGCGTACATAAAAAGAGCTTCATTTTTTTCTGCACTTCAAACCCGAGTAAAACAAGAGCTTTGCCTTTTTGTTTTGCCCATGCAATCATCATCAATGACGATTTACGATTCTCGGCTTAGTTTTGTATATATGTATAGTTATATTTTCAATTTAAAATATCACAAAAACTATAAAAGAGCACCATCTAATTTCAGACGTAAATTAGTCAGAAATATACCATCTACAACGTACCTATATGTTGTCAAGATTAAGATGATCTGTGCAACTTTTTGTAAAAAATTACCAAGTATTTTTGCAAAATAAAGTACAAATCTTTTATATCCAATCAGTGTATCTCATCCGTTCATTATTATATATGTATGTATGCACGTATATTGTAGGTATATCGTCTTTTATATCGGCGTTTAAATAAAAAGATTTTTAAGCCGCGCGATATCAAAGACACGTCTACACTTCTCTTTAGTAATTTCTCTTAATATAAGATAAAATAGTTAAAACATATTTAGTATATCTGATCACAAATGATTCACACGGATATATTGGATGATTGCATAAGTTCGTGCCCGATTTTCATAGATGGCATTAAGTTACTGCATGGCGGAGTTCTATTGTTTTCGTGTGGTAATTGTTGCTTACACCGAATAGATGACGTTGTCTTATGTCAATTTAGCGTCAGACATTGTTCAGATAAGTCCATTTGTGCATAAGAGAAATCATTAAAAATGGAGAACGAAAAGGTGCATTTGCGGCATGTAATGTTATATGAATTTCGGAAAGGCGTGAGTGTTGGGATTGCACAAAAAAATATTCAAACCGTTTATTTGGACCGCGCTCCTGCTCTCCGAACAGTCAAAAAGTGGTTTGGCAGATTTCGAAATGGTGATTTCAACATGGAGGATCAACCCCGCTCTGGACGGCCTTCTGGCATTGATGATGACATTGTGCATGCCTTAGTGGAAAGAAACCCAAGGATTACAACTGAGGATATTGCTGAGAGGCTGAACATCGATAATTCAACCGCTTTTCGTCATTTAAAAAAGCTTGGATACGTTTCCAAGCTTGATACATGGGTGCCGCATCTGACTACTGAAAGGAATAAGCTAAACCGTATGACTGTGGCTCTTTCTCTTCTCGAGCGTAACAAAAAAGAGCCTTTTTTAGATCGGGTAACAGGCGGCGATGAAAAGTGGATTCTCTACAAAAACGTACAGCAAAAGAGGACATGGAAAACAGCAGCTGAAGGAGCAGAACCCGTAGCAAAGGCTGGCTTGCATCCGATGAAGGTGTTGCTGTGTGTTTGGTGGGATCGCAAGGGAATTATTTACTTTGAGCTGCTCCGACGCGGCGAAACAATCACGGCGGACAAGTACTGTGAGCAACTAACTAGACTCGCTGCAGCTATTCGAGAAAAACGTCCGATTTTGGCCAATCGAAAAGGCGTCATCTTCCACCACGACAATGCTAGGCTACACGTCGCTCAACAGACGCTGCGAAAATTGCAGGAGTTGCAATGGGAAATTCTGCAGCACCTGCCATATTCTCCAGATATTGCGCCTTCAGATTTTTATCTGTTCCGGTCTTTGCAGAATAGTTTAAATGGCAAGAATCTCAATTCCGAGGAAGCTGTTGAAAACCACCTTACAAACTTTTTTCAAGAAAAACCAAGTTTTTTCTTCAAAAATGGAATCGACAAGCTTGTAGATCGTTGGAAAACCATTGTAGAAAAGAATGGAGACTATATAATTGATTAATAAAAGTGTTATCTCTAAAATATAATCTATTGAAGTTTATATTTAAATCGGGCACGAACTTATGCAATCACCTGATAATTCTTTGATAAATAATTCTACAATTTTCAGAATTTGTTACGTCTCGTTATTCGCTTCCTCTTTAGCCAAATTATTAACGTCACTATATAAGGACACAAAAATATAATTTCCCATCTACAGAGGAATGATAGATTATATAATACGTGCTCGCGTATGGCTCGTATGGCTAACGTAATTTCAACGGAAATGGAATGTCATTCATAAAATTGTATGAATCTAACGGACTCGTACATACGCATTCATCGAAAAAAACATACACATGTCTACTTGTCGCGTGGAATTATAACGAACGATGCCATTGCCACGTGTCGTAACGCACAAAACGCTAGCGTTCCCGAACGCTTCGATAATCAGATTATCGCGGAATGAAATTGGACCTATCCGCTCACGATGCGTTCTCAACGAAGTTGAGCAATCTCTCTAAAATTGGACGACACATGTTTCGAAACAGAGTATCTCGCGGAAATATCGCCAAATTTTGCATCGAGAAGGTACATTTCGAAAAGTTCGATTTATGTTTTAGCGAAGAATTTCGCGCTCAATAGTCGCACGATGCATAGGGACACATGTTTTTCAACCAGTGTATCACGAGTATCTCACGAACATTTGTTGCGAATGAAAACGAACATTTGTTGTTTCTAGGAGATTTAGAGAATATAGTCTTGTATTTTAAATAAACAGAAATTAAATTTTTTTTTGTATATAAGATCGCTTTGAATTATATCGCTATAATTTCTTCGAATCGTTAAATATTTTGTTAAAAAAAAAAAAAACACATCACGATGTCATTTTATAAATTTCGTATCTTTACGTATAAGACATTCTTTTAATCTCTATTAATTTTTAATCAGCGATATCGAAATATGTGAAGCCGTCCATGAATTGTTTTCAAATTTATAATCACAGAACGCAATTTTATAAAATTGCATTTTACTACCTCAACCTCTATTACTGCATCTATGCTTTAATAATATTTATATAAAAAAAAAGACACCGCTTTAAGTAAAATTCATATTTGACATTTCTAAAATACAATAAGCGATTCATTAACGAAGGGTTAAACGCGAGGATTCGTTCTGCTTTTTATTCTGCTTACTATTTTTAGAGGAATAACATCGGTGACTTACCGTGAGGAGGTTTGGGCACGTAGAGGTTCAGATACAGGCAGTCTTCGTTCTGGTTCGCCAGTACGGATTCCAGCCTCTTGAAATAGGTGCGTCTCTGCCGCGGCAGTTTCTCGTCCGGCGCCGGCGGACGCTGGGGACAGACCGGCGGCATGGTGTCGGCGATTTTGACACCACGCCACGGCGTCGGGGTGACCGGGGGCATGTAACGCAACGCGCCGAGCGGCGGCGTCGCGTATGGAACCCCGTAATAGGTCTCGACGGCGTTCGACGATCTGGCCTCGATGCCGCGCAGAATGCCGTATCGCGTCTTGACCGTCCTGGTGCAGTACTTTTGCGTGCCGGCCAGGGCCTCGGTGCCCGCCAGACAACACTGGGCGCAGAGAAGTGCCAACAGAAGGACGCTTTTGGCGATGGTGCCGTCGAACGAGGCACTATCTTGAGAAATCTCCTTACTCGCGATATCCTCCGCGCTCTGTCGTCGTTTGTCTCGTCTCTCGTCGTTGCTTCCGTCGCTTTTGTCTCCCGTTCGGCCCTCCCGCTTCCAGCATCGTTCACCGGGAGCCCGATTCGTCTGAAGAGACTTTGGCTTCCCCGGAACCTTACGATACGCCGAAGGACCATCTCGTCCTCGGTGAAGAATGTCGCGTCGCGCTCGACGCGATGCGATAATAGAGGAGAATCGCGAAGAACACTGCTGTCGACCGGCATGTCTAACTGACGGCCGCCAGTCGTCGGCGAGGAGGACGGTATCGAGAGGCGAGAGGTCTTTCCTCTTCCTCTTCCTCGGCAAAGAGGAGGAGGACGTCCGCATCGCGTCACGCCGCCGCGGACTGCGCGCCCCTGCGGGCCCCGCATCTGTGGGGCCCTCCTGCCGATGGACGACCCCCTTCTTCTTCCTCCTCCTCTTCCGCTTTCGATTTCCGCTTTCCTTTCCCGTTCGCCGCCGCTTCGCCCGTCCTTCGCCCTTCCGTCGCCGCAGCCGCTTTTTTGCGTCCGCTCTCCTGCACCCTTTTCCTCACCAGCGCCGCCGCCACCACCCTTATCCCGTCGCCGCTGTCCGCCCACTTCCACTGCTTCCGGTACGGCTTGCCGCCACCTCCAGTCTCGCGCCCTCCGTGCGGCTCTCGCTCCCCGTTCGCCGTCTCGAATTCAAAATAGCGACTCGGTACTGTTATCACGCTGCTGCTGCTGCTGCTGATATGCTCCGAGCGGACTCTTACTTCCATTCTCAGGTGCATGCGTTGCCCGCGCTGACGCTGAGCTGCCAAGCTGGCGACTGATCGTCGTTACCGCGCGGCACGCGCGTATACA